ACACAGTTGTTTGTGGCTGCTGTGAAAGTGTAGACCATAAGTTCTTGAAGGGATTCAATAAGGCCACAGCCATAGACATTATTACTACCCTTTCTGCTGGTTTGGCTTTTTGAAGACCCAGCTAGCTGTTGGCATCACTGTCATTCTGTGGGAAGAAAGTGTATGCTCAGAGATGTTCAGACATACTTAGGGGGGTGGAAAACAGCTGCACAGGTAGCAGTGGGACCTTGCCTCAAGTGTAAAGGAGATGAGAAAGTTGTGGAGGCCATGTCAAACAAGTGGCAGCTTGAACTCTTTGTGTTGTTGATGATAGTGGAGCAATGCAACTGTGACTCAGTTCTTAGAGCTAGATGATGAATCACTGAGTGGAAAATTGATCCGGATGACCTAATACCAACAGTTGATGAGACAAATAGTTACTTTTAATACCTTAAGATTTTAAAATGTAATAGAAAAGACCTTCAGAAAGTTGTTACAGAGTTCAGAGCTTCATCATGTTTCCTGACTGTTGTCAAAAAAAGCATCATTCTTCAATGATTGGTGATCATTTGACTTTTAGATTCTGACTTCTGTAGGACAACATAGGTCCCTAGAATTAGTCAGGAATTCTAAAGATGAGTGACCCTAAAGTATGTGTCTGTACTACTCACAGAAAGAGATCCACTCTCAAAAAAAAAAAAAAAGCGCATAGGTTAAATACCTGAGGATCTGTGCAGCCTTAACTCAGGTAACTGATTAGTCTCAGCCTAGAACTCAACTCAAGCTGCACTCAGGTTAAACTTTTATTTTAATGTATTAGGTAACAGCTATTAAGTGGTAAGAGTCCAATCATGCGTTGTACAGTGTACCTGTAAAAGTCTTGTTTCCAGAGGCTTACAAAGGCTGTGTTCTGTGGTTACCGCTCAGTGTGTTGGTCTAGCCAGTTATTTTTACTGACATACACAGTACTCACATTTTCTTCCGTAGCTTGGAGAGTGCTGTTAACAGTTTTTTAATGACTTCTAAATGTTGCCCTCCTTCCTTTAAAATGATCTGTGTAATGTAGTGATGATTATATATAGTGAGCTGCATGTAAAATCCTAGCAATTTCACAGCCTCGGGATGGTATCCTGAATGCAGCATGAGAGCTTAAACAGTCACTAACCTGCTCTTTTATCTCCACATGCCTTTATTTAGCCTGGCTTTCTATAAATGGGAGATGCTGTGTGACCTCTCTATTCACTATTTGACTTCTTGAGGAGCTACAAAAAATTTCCTCGTTAACCAGCAGAACTCAATTCATGTGTATAATTGCACGTCACCTCAAAACCTTGTCATGTCACTCCCTGTGTGTGTATTCCAATGATCCAAACCCAGAGCATCTACAGAAAATCAGGCATGTAGACAATAGTTTATCAGGAACATGAGAAAATACATTTTTGTTGGAAAAAAAGAATGTAAATGCATTTTACTGTGGTGCAGAAGCAGGGAGAAGGTGGTATTAATAGGATGTACACAGAAAAGGCACTGCCACTTTCATGCCAGTAGTACCTAGATGCTACAGTTCTTGCTCTGGAGGAAATAACTGACTCAGAAGGAATGTTGTTCACCTCCTTTGCTCTCAATAAGCTCTTTGCTTATCTGCTAACAATATCAGCAAAAAGAACATTATTTTAATACTATTATGTGTAAATAGGGCTGCTACAGATGCAATAATCTCTTCATACACATTTCAGGAAAAATTACTGCAAGGATATGGACTGAAATTCTGAAACAATTTATGCCAACAAATAAAACGGCTAGTATGGGTTCTCTTCTTGAAGCTTTCTGACATAACTGGACTTCAGGCTATAATAATTAAAATCTGGAAAGCACTAGTACTACATGAAATACGTATTGTGACCAGAGCTCTAGGCCATGTTCTGACAAGGGTGAAGATGCCTAAACAAAGGTGCGAAATGCCCACAGGCCCCTCTCAGTTGTTTTACACTGGGCAGAAGGGCGCAGTTTAACCATCAGAGTTTCTTGGCCTTTTAGCTAAGTCTCATCTGTTTCCTGGTAAGAAACTGTTAATGGAAACGCTGATTCTGGAGAATCCAGGAAGCTCTGATGATGCAGTAGTACCGGAGCTTCTAGACAAGAAGGAGCCACAGGACACTTTGCACAGACCTAGTCTACAGGAAATACAGCTATTTACGTTCAGGGGAGAAATGTTGCATTTGGCTACCTCATGGCAGGCTTTTTGGACCAGACTACATATGGCCTAGTTTGATGGCTCTTGGATAGTTTGGTCTCGGCCATCCAACTCTCTTTAAGCCATGGGTTTAGTCTATAACTAAGATCGGTAAATTTTATTGTGACGAGGACAGTAAAAGCATTGTGGAGTTAAACACAAGAGTATTTACTACACTTAATAGGTTTATAAGGGTTGAGTCCCTGACCTCTTTGCTAAGCTTCATGTGATTCTTGATAAAATCTGATCTCCAAGGGTGGAAATAAGATTTGGTCTGCCTATTAGTGCAAAATGAACTGGGGGTGAACAAGGATTCTAATACCTGTCCAGGTGTATGCATAACAAGAAAAAAAAAAGTTTTAACTGATTTGTTACATGCTTATAAAGTGTTAACTTTACAGAGGTTAAGGAATGAATAACTAAGGAAACAGAATTCCTTACTGCTGTGTTTGGGCACAGAGATGGAGAGCGCCCTCGGTGTGCCAGCTTCTCTTTGCTTCGGTAGCTGTTCCACAGAAGCGTGCTTTGCTTTGAATGCAGCATGGGAGCCATCTGTAAGTAACTGCTCAAAAGTGAAGTTCACTGAGAATGACAACTAAGCTGCTGCTGGTTCAGTGCGAATGAACAGAAAACTGCTGCTGGTGCTTTTCATTACAGAAATCTTTGGTGATGAGGGATTAAGAGACGTCAACCCGGCAACCTGGATTACTGTTACCGTTTGGAATTGTGTGAGCAGTAGATGGGGCTGTTGTTCCACATGCCTTTTACTAAAAATTTGTATCACGTACCCTGGTGACAGGAAATCAAGGCGTTTCTGTGTGGGCTGTCTGGGTTTTTTGCCACATCTAGAGGGGCTGAAATGTGGTAAATGGTGATATGCATAAAACAAACCTCACAATCCCTGCACACAGGTTCTCAGTGTAGAGAAAAAAAAAAGTTTTCAAGGAATATGTAATGTTCCTATGCTGGTAGATATCCCTAACTCACTCTCTTGGTTATCGTCGCACAGCTGGGAAGAAAACCTTGGGGAGAAAGAAGCCGGCCCAGCCAGCTTGCCCAAGCAGAATACATGCTCTGCTCCCAGCCACAACTTTTGGTTGTCTCTTCCCAGCTGCTGTCCTCAGTACTCATCACGGTTACACGTTTATGATCGTGCGTGTGAGAACTCTCAGGAGCAAGCAAAAGGGTGGCAGAGATAACAAGTGTTTGTAGGTATCCCAGCGCCCCTCCTGTGAACTCACTTTGTTGCTTTGCAGCAGGGTGATCTGGTCGTCAGTTGAAGTACCTGTTCTTGAGGCTAAATTGGTGCCTGAGGGTTAACAGCTTACCATTTATCTGCTTTTTGGAGAGCAGAAAATTAAGGTGCTCTTAATGTCATCCATCGGTGGTGCTGTAATGCCTTCTGCATTAAGAAAATTCCAAAATTTAGAAGGGAAAAGTCATAAAGTGATGACACTTGAGGACTGAAAGAAATGTTACCTCCTCTCTTTACTACTACAATCCCTGATTGTGGCCCTTCGCTCTGGAGAAACATGGTGTTCTGACAGGCTCACTTATTGTAGCCTTCCAGTCACGGGAAATACGACTCAACTTCATGCAAAAGATGAAACTTCACTGGATGTCACATTTAATTAAAAGTATTGGTTTTGAGCAATATTCTCTATTCTCAATAGGGCTCCTAGCTTCAGAATATATATGTAATTTTTTTTTAAACATTGGCCACTTAGTTTAAATGTCTAAATGAAAACTGAGCTTTCTGGGAAATCTAGTCAATCTAAAATGAGCACTTTATGACCAAAATAATAAAATCAAGTACATTCCTATGCAAGCTGTTGAAGACAGTGCCTTTTCAAAGAATTTTGGTTTTAATACAGAATTAAAGAGTGTAGACAATGTAGTCAAAGGTACAAAAGTGACAACATGCCATTAAAAATGCTGTAGAGATTAATCTAGAGCTTAATGCTGCTTTGGCATTTTGCCTTATCTTGGCTGGAACATAGACCTGTTCCCCTGGAAAGTCATGAGTACAGTTTGAAACTTGTGTTATTTACCATCTGTACCTCTAGAAATGCTTGGTAGCATTGGGGGGAAAAAGAAGTGAAATTACTTACTCTTTAGTGGGATAAACATTCTGTCTGTGGATTGTGATCAACCAGTCTCAAGAGAAGAACAATCCCTTTGGGAAAACCAGTCCAAAGAAATGTTTAAAAGTCCAAGAAAACAAAATGAAACAACTATAGGTAAGCTACCTGTATAATAAAATTCTGTAACTGAATGCCTAGTTGGCAATCCCATGCCAAACTAACTCAATCTATCTGTAAATCTAGAATTTCACCTGGTTTTCATTTCAAATAAAAGTAATTCTTCAGTTTTCCTTGAAAGGTACTTGCTGGTGCAAAACCTCTGGATGGTCCACTGCACCTGCCCCTGGTTGCCTGTCCCTTCTATTTGTTCACGTGTCAAAGAATTCCACATATATTGATGACAAAGTGAGTATGATCTTGCAGGAAGATGGATGCCAAAGGCATGTAAGTTGTGTTTGCAAACATGCTACAAGGATTACTGATAAACATAATGAAAATAGACACAATGTTGCCCTTCACCAACAATATAAATATATATAGGTCATCTCATTAAAATACTTTCATAGATGTATGCACATAAGTAGTTCTTAGCAAGATGGAAGCCAATGCATTTTTCACAGTGTCTGTGAAACCTCCATGGCTGGAAAACAGAAAGACTGGAGTGATTGTCCAGCAGAAGTCCTGTCAGCGTGACTGAATTCAATTTATTCCTTTCTTTGCTCTTCGTCTTTAGATTCATTTAGCACCTCTTGCGACATCTTCTGTATCTCTTCTTTGCACCTCAGAAAGGCATCTTCCAAACACCTCATGATGTTGGTCAGGTCTGGGCTAGTACGTAAGACTACCATATCATATGCCATCCAGCTTGCCTGCACTATGAACACAACAGAGAATACTAAGCCAGGAATTTTGGTTAAATAAAAGCAATGGCTGATTCAGTAAATGAATAAAGGACATGAATTGATATCAATTCAGAGCCTAGGCCAGAGAAGGTTGGCTGTAAAATAAAGTGGAGATTGCCCACAGTGTATTACTGGTTAAATAAAAGACTACTCAGCATTATTTCTTTAGAAAAGTCTCAAAATATTTCAGATTGAAGTACACCGGTGTAAATTACAAAAGGGAAATAAAAACTTTACCTAAAAATTAAAAAAAAAACACTAAACAGGTAACCAAAAAGAAGGGTTCAAGACGTTGTTTCAAAATAAATGAACTAAAGAATCCTATCTCCAGACCAGTTAAGTCAGGAGGCTTGTGTTAGGTGAGGAAGAGTAAGATCAGGGAGGCTACAGCATATAGATGAGAGGTTTTAAAAACAACCTAAAATTTTAAATGATTTTGCAATAACAAGTACCTGATAAAGCAGAGCAAATAGTTTTAGCACTCATTTCATACTTTCCCTTTTATTTTACCATAAACTGACTGTAGTTTTCTCAATGGCACTCAAACTATATTTAGTTACAAGTAGTTTAATTAACAGTTCCCATCTATTCTTGTTAGCTTCACAGGAGTTTCTCATAGAATTGTTGTAGAACAAGGAAAAGAATATCACAGAACCATGGAATGGTTTGGGTTGGAAGAGACCTTAAAGATCATCTCATTCCGACCCCCTGCCATGGGCAGGGACACCTCCCACTAGACCAGGTTGCTCAAAGCCCCATCCAGCCTGGCCTTGAATATGCTGTCCTCTCTGTAGCTACAGGACTAAGACTAAATTTGTAGAGGGGTCTTTACTCTAGCTGAGAAATTAAACATGTCACGCACTAACCTGAGAGGTACTATGTATCCCACAATTTTTCAGAATTAAGTCTTGTTTTACATGCTATGTTTTAATAATTGTACATGAAAAACCTTACTTATGTTTTCAACCACCACTGAGTATCCATCACCTATTAGTTTTCAGTTCTTTGCTATCTGAAATTTGCTATGCAATTTGCATGCCTTCTCTCAATTAAGAGCATTAGGAAATGAGTTGATGGTGATTGTTTCCACTTACATTTCTATCACATGGAAATTTGCAGCAATAAGTATAAAAACAAATCTGTATAATTCTTAATATATTAAGACCTGTACCTGTTAGTTTTTCTATTTCCTCCAGAAGTTTTTCTAAGTCTCCATTCATGTCCTCCACCATCTTTACCATGTTATCATAGTTTTCTTCCTGAGGTTCTGTTTCAGCCATCTGCAAGGAATTTCATACTTTATTTGACTTCGAGGTGAGCTGGTTTTCTCAGTTGACAGAAAACAACATTGCAATAAATTTAAAAAAAAAAAAATTACTCAATTTACATGTGATTTCATCTGACCTTGAAGTTACTGGTCATCACCTGTATGCTGTATACTATTTTCAATCCATTTTGAAATTAATTTAAGTAGGAAGAATCACACACAAATATGTATGCTTGTGTCAAATAATGAATTTGCTGTAAGAATGAAGATCACTGTGTCACTTAATTAGAAAATTTTATCTGTTATCCCGTTGCAGTTGTCTTCAAGCTTCGTCCCAAAATACTCTGTCATACGGCAGTTCCTAATTTCCAAAGTTATTTGTAAAATAACCATTTGTGTTTCACACTTGCATGCTACAGCTGGGTAACTACATACACCAAGTTCTGTCACCATCTAAGTAGCTAATACTAACCTCTGCTTAAGTTGTAAAATTTCAGCAAGTGCTTGGGGCAAAAATAGTAGAATCATAGAATGTGTTCGGTTGGAGGGGACCTTAAAGGTCGTCTAGTCCAACGCCCTGCAGTAAGCAGGGACATCTTTAACCAGATCAGGTTGCTCAGAGCCCCATCCAGCCTGACCTTGAATGTCTCCAGGGATGGAGCCTCCACCACCTCCCTGGGCAACCTGTGCCAGTGTTTCACCACCCTCACAGTAAAGAACTTTTTCCTAATGCCCAATCTAAATCTACCCTGCTCTAGATTAAAACTGTCGCCCCTCGTGCTATCGCTACACACCCTTGTAAACAGCCCCTCCCCAGCTTTCCTACAGATTTTGAGGCCAAACTTACGCAATTCAAAGTTTTGGAACCCTGATGATGATCAAAAATGCAACACACAACCTTGCCTTTTAATTTCCTTTTCTGAGAGCAGCTGAGGGATGCGCTGAAACTATGAAGGAGGAGATGGAAAAGCTTCACTGTAGTGACTATACACATCACAGAGCAGGCATAGTTTTTGTCACCTTTCTTTTTTTCTACATATGATTTCTCACACTCAAGTTAGTGGGTATCGGCTTTCCGATTTTTATTGCCAGTAAATGAAAAGGAAGCCGCTTCTGTCTGTAATGGCTTCACAGCATTCTACAGTGACCTGGCCAAGCCTTACCAAGACGCCGGGTGACCAAGGATCTCCTCACACCACCAGTTCCATGAGCTAACTGCGTGCGGGCAAACCCTCTACCCCACGGACCTTAACAACCCCAAACCCGTTGCCGCAGCTCAAGGCGGGCCCGCTCGAACTCCACGCCAGGCCCGCTCTGCCCCCACCGCGCCGAGGGACGGCCGGGCCCAGCCCAAGGGACGTTTGAGGAA